TATGGCAGTAATGCTGGACAATCTTTTCACAAATGAAGAAGAGCCTTGAAAGAACAGAAATCTGCTTTTTATAAAATGATGTTGAAAATACCACGGACTGAACTTGTGAGCAAATAACGAAGTTCTAGAAAAAAAAAAAGAAACTAAAAGGAAACACATTATTAGAATCAGAGACAGACAGTTTGTAGGTCACATAATATGGAAAGGCGGCTTAGAAAATCTGACACTTACATGACATACTGATGGTAAGAGAGACAAAGGAAAGAAGTGAATAACCTGCCTAACGAGCTTGTGTAAATGGTTGGAAGAACAGGCAAAAAGAAAGGTCAAAATTTATTATGATTTACAAAAGACAAGAAATTGTGGTGAGCCATGACCGACCGCCTCCCGAACGAACATGGCACAGAGAAGACGAATTATTTTAGAATGTGCGCTGCGGTGTCTGTCTGTCTGATGCGGCATTCACCCTGGCGGATTGAGCCGGCTTCTTCTTGTTATGAGAAGAAGATTCTTGGGATAAATTACAGAAGTAGGGCACCCAGGCCTACTCGGATAACGTTCTTACTTGCCGCGGGGTTCCCACAGACGCAGAGACTGGGGAACGACCAGAAGCCGCCGGTTACCGATGCAGACGCTCCTTGGATTTTCACCAGAGCCCTTGTTAGTTGGCGTGTGTGTCAGACCTGTCCCCTTGGTGGCTCCTACCAGGAACGAAGTTCCGGCGGTATAGCTCTGACACTGTCGTTTACACCCCCACCGACTGTGAGGTAAGGGTTGACTTTGGGGCTTACAGTACCAGGTGTTCAAGCGGTCCCCATCTAAGTACTGACCTGGCTCTACGCTGCTTAACTTCGGTGATCGTACGAGAACCGGTGTTTCAGCGTGATTTGACCGTAAGCCGCTGCGGTGTAATGGATATTGGCTTGGGTGGGAGATCGGAGAGCCGAGATCGAATTCCAGTCGGGTGCATCACATTCACTTACGCACAAATAACCTTGGGAAAGATAGGAATCCATCTTTTCTCCCTTAAGCTATGGGTTGAATAGCAGGACAGATTGGGTTGGCAACCAGTCTACCGCATAAAAATGGCAGCATACTGCGGGAAATCTTCAGCTTTGTCAGGCGTGAATCGAAAGAGGCATGATCGCCCAAACGTATCATTTAGGCCAGAATCTTCTCCCTCATAAATTCTATGATTCATGCGATCATTCCTGTTTACAGAACCCATCTCTTTACTAACTGTGACGTTCTATAACTTCTTGGGAAAACGGGTGCAACAGTTTCCCTTTGCTTTTATTTTACTATGCTGTTCACCTTTTTCAAGACTGACGAGAGAGCACAGTCTACTCTGCTGGTTAGCTCATACCTTGTGGAAGGAGAAGAGATGGGTTAACGTAATATTACGAAAAGGACGCAATAGACTCAGTCAGAAATTGAACTCAGTTCGCCGACACCATTCTTCCTGTCGATAGTCATTATACTACCTACACAACCTAGGCATAGTAATTGCTGATAAAAACAGAACGCACAGAAAATTTAGATTTATGTAATTGTTAACGATGTCTTATTAATGGCTTTCTGAACGTGGTTAAGACATAAGTCTTGTAAAAGAACATGATCCTGTTAAAAATGTCTTGGGAATAAAAAAGGACCCCAAGGATAGCTTGATTCGTTTCCTTGTCGTCTTTCTTCTTAAGGTGCATTCGTATGCTTTTATTTTCATCCGATTTAACTTTTAGAGTTCTTCCTTGCGCCTTTTCCTTTTAGGATTTTTTTTCAAAGTTTTTAAACAGTTCTAATATTTAACATTTAATAGAATTGTAGTATCGAAGTCCCAAGAGACACTCAGGGTAGAGTGTTGCTGAATGAGTTTGTTGTAAGGGCGTAAGACGACAAAGTGAGAGAAATATAAAGAGGATATGTAGCTAAGATAATGATTGTCCCGTGACATAAAAATAATAAGTGTACGTGGCTTGTGAAGTCTGAACTGGCGGAACTATGAAAATGTCGCAAATCTGAAGATTAGCCATGGAAAAACCAATAGATTAGAGAGAGAGAGAGAGGGGGAGCTAGCAACATTCAACGTTTCTATCTAAGAATATTGGGTTGGTGGAAAAATAATGACGTAATAATGTCGTTTTTGACGTATTTTTAACGTCAAAAACGACATTCTTACGTCATTATTTTGAACCAACCTAATATCTATCTATTCATCTATCTATCTATCTATCCATCTATCTTTTATTGTTATTAATTTTGTATTTAGTGAGTACATGTGTCTGATTAGATATCCGGGTAATTCTGAAGCAGTAAAAATGATATCTAACGGACTAGATATCGCAAATCTTATTAAAGAAAATGTGCTCCTTGACATTTTTTATAAGACTTTCATTTTTACAACTGTCCGTGTTCTATTACAGGAGCCGAATTATTTTAGGAAATCAAATTTAGTATGATCTTCCTCATAACGAAATATGGGAATTAAATCTGATGTTTTAGTCGATCCTGTCTAGAGAAATTAATCTAAAATTAATCCCTTTTCTTCTGCACATAATTTACACCTTCCAGGCGCAGCGTTTTAAACAAATGCGTTTCTTAATATTTTCGCTTCGACCCTTCCAAGAGTGCCCAATATTGTACAGATACACAGTGTTCACGTAGGAATGAACATTGCAATATTATTGTCAGTTTCTGTCACATTTGGTCTGATGCTTCTGCTATGTATTTAGAGAGTCTTGACAAATTCAAAAATGTTGTCGGTCCTGACTTGGCATCTTGGCTTCAGATATTTCTCAACCGCCGTAACCTAGCTTCCGTCTCCCATTTCTATAAATATTTTCATGGTAATTGTTCTGATGAGTATTTCACTTTGGTAGCAAATTTTAGCGCAGTACCACATAGGCAACTTGGTCTCATCATTTTAGAGTTGAAATTGCTAGAGACAATCCTAAGTTCTATGTTAACAGTTTCTTCCTTGACACTTCTCACTTGTGGAACCCTCTTACATCCGAGTCACCTTTGACCTTTAAAAATTTAAATACAATGTCAATCGTTATCTTCTGTCTTCTTAATTCCTGTTCTTCTGCTGTTCTCACTTTAATAATGTTTAATGTTTTTTTCTATATCTTTTATTTTTTCACACACAGTATTCTCTTGAATCTTAGTGTCTTTATGGCATACTTTGGAGTGAAAGAATTAAATATATGTACAGGATGCGATGGATAAGTTGCCGACGAAATCACACAAAAAGGAAAAATAACACTGGCATCTCATTTTAACAGATATTTAGGAAAATTACACAAAAATATCTTGAAATACTAAAGAGTAAATTTATTCAGTAAAATCGTCATTGGCTTCAACCACGGCCTCGAGACGACTTCGGAATCTCCTGCATCTCTTCAGGACGGTCTCCATGTTTAAGTTGGCGACTGGTGCCATAATCTGTGCCTTCATTTCATCTTTGGTGCTAGAAGAATTTTTGTTATCTCTTTATTCAACTGCACCCCTGTACATAATAATCAAGGTGTTTATTAAGTCTGGGGAGTTATCACTTCATGCGTAAAGGGGTCATGTGGTCACAGAAATTGTCTGACAACCATGATATTTATATATTTATTTTTTTGCCTGGCATGAATATTCAGAGTCCTTTTACCAGTCATAGGGTCATCCGGCAGCCACCGTCTTGATCCAGGACTAAAGTCCCAAGTCACTTGAGGTAGGCCTTCGTGTTGCGTCTGAAACCCTGTGGGATGATGAATGAAGACATAACGTCGCCATCACCATCATGTTGACTGGATATATCATCCAAATCTTCTCCAAATCCTCTGCATTGTCCACAGATTTACACCCAACCCCTTTGAAATGTCCGTATTGGAGATTCGCGTGAATGCCAAGTAGTACAGTATATCGTTTCCAAATTTCTGACAGAGTGAATTGTGTCATGGTACTCTTTTTCTCATAGACAGTGCCTAATTGACTCTACTATACTGTGAAAAAAAAACAAAAACAAAGAATTCGCATGCGCGTAATTAAAAATATAAAATGACGATCATTTACCCATCGCACTATATATATCCTATATATATATATATATATATATATATATAACGATATATATATAGATAGATATTTATTATATATATATATATATATAAGTTATGTTTCATTAAAAACGACAGTGTAATACATTTTTGAGCTTTTATTTTTTTTTCTTGTGTTGGATACAAGATTCTTTTATTTTCTGGACAAGGTCGTTAAGAATTGTCCAAATGTTTTATATTTCCGCCCCCCTTGATGGTGCCTTTAGCTTTGGGAAAGGATGATTCGATTTTTCAGGTCAATTGAGTGTGTCTTCTGTGGATACAAGTTCAGGGCTGTGGTAGGATGTTTATTTCAAAATACGCTTAGCGATTTTTCTTGTTTGTAGTTACTATTGTTAAGGTTTAATTTTTTTTTTTTTATTATGGATGAGCCTCCATTGTTTTAGTCTTTTTTGGCAGGTGGATGCAGCTATTATATTTCGTATCTTTTTATATATATATATATATATATATATATATATATATATATATATATATATATATATGACGTCATATATTAAGAAATGGACAAAGTCCGACAATTTATTTATTAAAAGACATTTTTATGTTTAACGTTCTTTTTATAGATACAAAGTATTTGTAAATTTAGTTAATAGAATATATATTTTATATATAACCTTTTTATTATTACAATGTCAATGTTTCATCTTTTGACTCTTATTTCCTATTCGTTTGTTGATCTCACTCTTTTTAAAAATGATTTTGTATTTTTTAGACCAGTATCCCCGCCCGTTTTCGTGGCTTTATTGCCTTGGTATGGTTTGAATGATTATATATATATATATATATATATATATATATATATATATATATCATATCTTCCTTCTTTACTCTTTTCCTTTCCCCTCCCTCATGTCTACTCTAAACTTTTCCCAACAAACTTATATTGAATCCTGTTTTATGTGTGTTTTATTGTTTTTGCCCTTTTATATTAAACTTTTTTCCTTTTTTTCCTTTTCTTTTTCAACTATTTCATCTATCTATTCATTCATTCATCTATTCATTATCTATCTATGGTTCTCTCTCTCTCAAAATATATATATATATATATATATTTATATATATATCAATTTGAAAAATTACTTTGCATGAGGAAATCGAGTTTATAAGCAGTCACTATTACAGCTGTTCTTCGGTTTAGTAAAACTCCGACTGTTACCAAATCAGTCTCTGTTTCATCAATCTGATGTCCAGTGTGTGTGTGTGTGTGTGTGAAACAGTGTGTGTGTGTGTGTGTGTATATATATATATATATATGGGGTCGCGCCTACACACACATTACAACACACACACTTTTTTATATATATATATATATATATATATATATATATATATATATATATATATAATTAAAACAATTTTTTTATTATTAAATGTAATGTTAATCGTTATTTTTGTCTTTTTTTTCCTGTTCGTTTGTTTTCAGCCTTTATTAATTTTTAAAAATATATTTTATTATATTATATTTTTAAATTGACGCAAAATATCTGTTCTTTTAATAATCTTTATATATATATATATATATATATTTTATATATATATATATATATATATATATATATATATATCGGCAGAAGCGTGTCATATTAAGACTTAATAAAACATATATAATACAGAAACTGTCTGTACTTCATCGTTTCTGTCGAGGATTTCATCTTACCTCCTCCTTAGAATTAATTCTTCCTGTATACAAAAAATACGCAAAAAATACAACACATATAATAACTTATCTTCTATCTTTCTCTTTTTCTTTGTCTTTCCTTAATAAGCCTCGTTGGGTGCAAGTGAAAAACACATGAAATGACGCGCATTATCGCATCTATACATAAGCTATTATTATCCCATTATAGACAAAACCTAGATTTAACATTGACTTAGTTTATGCTTATCTACACATGTCCTTGTTTCATTTATAGTTTTTGCTCGTTCAGGCCTGCTGACACCTTGACAACTGGGATCAGGACATATATCTTAAAAGAAATAGGCTAATGGACTCTTCGTTTACTTTTTAACTTATTTTCATAATTGAATGTAAAAGTACATTACTTTATTCTGTGAGAACAATGGTACAATGATCAGTTTTCCTAATCTCACTCTCCGACCAACGTTTACCTATAGTCAACCTCACTCAACGGTACACCCGAACAATGTTTACCTATAGACACATGTATAAACCTGACCAATTTTTTTTTATCTATAAATTCAACCATGACCAATATATAACCTTGTTATGGAGTGGTTTCACAGTGGAGGCTTGTATTTGTACTAAGTCGGTCCTAAAATAGGTTCGACGTACAAAACGTTAGGAACTTGATATAATAGGTATAACGCAGAGTAATCTAGTTGTGTTCGCTGATACTTTAGTATTCGACTAACAGTCGTCCGGCATCGACTGACTGACCGAACCACTGAGCGACTCCTACTACCGCTACTTATTATAGGTGGGAGAGTCTATTAACTATAGAATAGGTATGTTCCACGATAACAAACCTTCAACATAGTTAAGCACCTGACGAATGACTGTGTACAAATATGAACCCGACCAATCTCTATAGACCCAACGATTGTTTATCTGTAGCCTCAAGTATAAATCTACCTATAGACTCAAGGATATTCTTAACATATATTTATAGATTCAACTATAAATTCGGGTATAAACCTTGACCAATGTGCATATAGCCTGAAGTATAAACCGAATAAATATTTACCTCGACGGCCACAGCTGATATTATAAAGTCATTTTGAAATGCATGATCTTGTTGATGGCTGCACAGTGTTTTGCTACGCTAAGACGATATATGGTTTTAAATTCAGATTTCTCTCAGATTGGTTGCTCACCTCGGCTAGCGAACTCAGTTTTCACTGCTATTTAAACCATGGGAAGAAGAGATGGACTCTTACTTTACCGCGGAGTATTTACGGGGAAGTGAACATAACGAACTCAGCTGGAATTCGAATCCATCGAGTCGATTTCTCGTTCCGATCTGCTAACCATTATATAACTTGCACATTCATACAGATTCATACATAATGAGAAACAGATTTTGATATTAAATAACCTAAAATGTGTTAATATGTGGTAAAACGAATCAATCCAACTCAGTCTAATCTAATCTCACTGTCTGTCTGTCTATCTGTCTGTTCATTTCTCTCTTTCTTTCTTTCTTTCTTTCTTTCTTTCTTTCTTTCTTTCTTTCTTTCTTTCTGTCTGTCTATCTGTGTCTTTCTTTCTTTCTTTTTTTCTTTCTTTCTTTCTGTCTGTCTGTCTGTCTGTCTGTTTCTTTTCTTTTCTTTTTCTTTCTTTCTTTCTTTCTTTCTTTCTTTCTTCTGTCTGTCTGTCTGTTTCTTTCTTTCTTCCTTTCTTTCTTTCTTTCTTTCTTTTTTCTTTCTTTCTGTCTGTTTCTTTCATTCTTTCTTTCTTTCTTTCTTTCTTTCTTTCTGTCTGTTTCTTTCATTCTTTTTTTCTTTCTTTCTTTCTTTCTATCTGTGTCTTTCTTTCTTTCTTTCTTTCTTTCTTTCTTTCTTTCTGGCTGTCTGTCTATCTGTCTGTTTCTTTCTTTCTTTCTTTCTTTCTTTCTTTTTTCTTTCTTTCTGTCTGTCTATCTGTCTGTTTCTTTCTTTCTGTCTTTCTTTTTTTTTTCTTTTTCTTTTTCTCTTCTTTCATTCGTTCATTCGTCTTTTCTTTCTTTTTCTTTCTTTCTTTCTTTCTTTCTATCTGTTTCTTTCTTTCTTTCTGTCTGTCTCTTTCTTTCTTTCTTTCTTTCTTTCTGTTTCTTTCTTTCTTTCTGTCTGTTTCTTTCTTTCTTTCTCTCTTTCTTTCTTTCTTTCTTTCTCAGTCTATTCATATATATCTATCTTAGTCTATTCATATCTATCTATCTCAGTCGATGGAATCATCCTTTCATAGGTACCATGAGTGATGCACGATTGAGAGAGTATATCTCTTTTCGATTCATGATTGACATGGCGAAGAATTCTCAGTGGTCTGCCATTATTTTCCGTGGTAAACTCGCTTCCAACCAAGATTATATGACTCAGCCTGTCCTGCTGTTTAACCCATAAATGGAGGAGAAGAGATAGATTCATACCTTTCACAAGGATATTTGCGCGTAAGTGAATGTAACGAACTCGATTTAAATTCGAACACTGTTCACCGATTTCTCATTCCCATCCATTATCCATCGCACCACCCGCACATCCAAAATTAAAGAATCATGTATTCCTAAGTGGTTACCTAACTACATACTGACCAGGATCAAAGTTGCTTAACTTCGGTGACCAGACGAAAACTGGTGTTTCAACGTGATATGATTAATATCTCTATCTATAAAAGGCAGGGATGTGTGTGTGTGTGTGTGTGTGTGTGTGTGGTGTAACGAATACACGGGCCACGATTTTCGACGGATTTGCACCAAAATTTACATGCACATGCCAAGTTAGCGGGAAATCCAAGACCGACCTTGCATTTCCGGTAACTCCCCATTGATAGTAGAAATATCGATTTTTTTCATGCTTCTACGGCAGTTTTCATGTAGTTTGCGGCCATTTTCTACTGGCTAAAGTGAGAGCCTATAGTTGGCTGCCACGAATAGGCAGGAAGATTCTATTGTCCAGTGTGAGAGCCAACAGCTGACTGACACGAATGTTAACTAGCATGCTAGCATGCAAAAAAAAATCGATAGCTGCATTCGTCACAAGTGGGAAAAATTTAAATCTGCATGGCACTTTACTCCAATTGGCTCATTCTCTTGCTTAAACTCAACGTTGATTCTGATTCCGCAGAACTGGGTTGGGTGTGAAAAATTATTTGTTGTTAACATTGTTTTTTCATTCGGTTTTTCCAGTTACGAGTCCTTTTTTAAAGATGATCGTTTTGTGTTCATTTTTTAGTTCTTTTTTCGTAACAGATTTAATGTTTAGTATAGAGCTTAGAAAAAAATCGCAGTGTGAGATAGGCAAGAAGTAAGGCATGTAGCAACATCAGCACGGCAAAGGGCACTCCTTTAAAGGCAAGGAAGGGCAAAAATATTTTAAGTCAAGTGATAGCGATTGCTGTATGAGTCGTACGATTTTTGAATCAAGCACGGGCAACGCCGGGCCATGCTGCTAGTTTATCACTAAATTAAGTGCATCAACAAGGAAGGAAATTATGTTGAAAAAGAAATGTTGCATAAAATCAGTGTTCTTCGTCATTACACTCCTGATTTATGGATTTGCTTAGGTTTTATTTGAGTACTACTCACCTAATATAAGGTTCAAGAGCCACTCAAGGTAGAGGGTAACTGAATGATGTTTATGAGATGAATATAATACCAGGAAGTAATAAGTGAGAATTACGTAGCTCTAGAGGATAGACAGCGACTGACACTTGACTTCAAAAGTTTCAGATTGTAGTGTTCAGGGAAGAATCCACGTGGGAGTTCATTCCGCAAAACAACGGTTTTTGTGGGCAAAAAAAACAAAAAAAACACACTGAGTGGAACTTCATCCTTACAATTGGAATACGGATGGTTCGCCACTGTGGACGCAGCATGTCCGGTCTTAGCTGTAAATCTGCTGAATTAATGAAACGCGACACAGGGGGTCGTTCGAATAATTGCCATGGAAATATCGGCAGAGTGGGAAAGGAAGTGAGGTGGATGGTGGAATATGGCACCCCTTTCCCTCAAGCTGCGTAAACAACTCTGGACAATGCTGGAAATTGGGGATTGGGCATCTCCAGCTCAGATTGAGAAGCAATAATCCTTTTTTTGGTTACATTGAACATGACAGAAAGAGTGACGTACTTTCTAGAACTGTAAGGTGAGCCGACCATTTTACCAGCGTATGCGGTCATTACGTCGAATGGAAGTTTTGATAAATTTGTAAAATATATTCATTTAATAATTTCTACTTTTGATTACACATGAGAAGTTAGCTAATAAATGCTTCCTTAATGCAGCCTGGTACAAAGGGGTCTATTCCGAAAAGCTATCTATTTTCAAAACTACTTAGATTTGCCAACGAATGGCGTATATAAGTAAGAAGTATGATTGATTGGTTCGCTTTCTATGTTTTATCAACCCCTTAAAGGTTGTTTAAAGCCAGAAAATATTTTTAGATTCTAAGAACTTTTTTTGTAGATAATGATAGTTTAGCCATATAACACTTACTGATTAACCCATAGCTGGGGAGAAAAAGACATTAATTCATACCATTGCACGTAAATGAAATTAACGAACACAACTGGAATTGAAACTCAGTTTTACGATTAACAATTCCGAGACATTATCCGTTACACCACCTGCACATCCAAGCTTACAGCACCTCGTATTGCCAAGCGGTCACCCATCTAGGTATTGTCCAAGTACGATGTTGCTTAACTTCGGTGATTTTATGGGAACCGTTGCTTTAATGTGATGTAGCTGAGAAAGTAGGTTTTAAAACAGTATATTCTATGATTGCATGGCTGTGCGAATAATCAGATCTTAGACGAATGTCAGAAGATACACTGAATAGCAAAAGATGCCTTCAAAAAACTAGGCACAATATTAGGAAACAGGAAATTTTTGTTAGAAACAAAGACAAGAGTGCTGAACTGTTTGCAATATGCGTCTTCCCGTATGGTCGTGAGTAGGTGACGAGGACAACTGGGGCAACAAAAAGGTGATGAGATGGAGCGTTTCCGAAACGAGAATTTTTTAAAGGAAAATGGAAACAAAAATATAAAATCGCAAAGAAAAAATTAAAATTTCTAGGACACATAAGGAGAAAAGAAGTTCTGGAAAATTTGATACTCACAGGACATATAGAAGGCGGTAGAAACGGTCTGGTTTGGTTTGTTTTACGGCATATCAACCTCAATGCGTTATTTAAAGCCAATTTTTATTGCTGGTAATATTTTCCCCCCAAATGTGTTGCTGGTAATAATTTAAAAAAAAAAAGTATTTCTGGTATTAAAATCTATTTTTACACTTTCATAGTGTTTTGTACCCAGTTTGGGAGTTAACTATTTGCCCATAGCTGGGACCCTAACAGGTGCTACCACCCGGGTCAGGGTGGACCTGGGAACACCAGCAATTAAGAGATGGTTCCACGCTCCTCAAAACCTTCTGATCAGAGGCCTTGCTGCTGGACGTAGTTTATCGTCTTACCCAGAACAAGCGAGAGGAAAAGAGGAAAGCAGCGAGTAACATAATGAACGAATTTGGCAGAACATATAGGTATAGTAAAAAGGCAAACTTTGTTAAGAGTTACGAAGGTTGGATGTAGTGGAGAGCCATAATCGACCATGTCCTGAAAGGACACAGCAAATAGAAGAAGAAGAAGAAGAAGAAGAAGAAGAAGAAGAAGAAGAAGAAAGATGAGTAGCAGTAAATCATGCCCGTTCCTGATATAAAACCAAAAGAACTATATCGTCACCATTCGAGAAACGTGTGCTGTGTAATTTAGTGTGTAGGCGGCGAAATAAATACCATCTTCAGCGCGTATTAACTTGCCAAATTCCAACATCCGCCATGCTTGTTCCTACAACTCAGGCACACTGCTTATTAAAGGCATCTGGATTTGTTTAGACCAGGATTCTATCGAGATGCCAACCGTTATCTGGAGTCAGGTTCTGATGCGAAGAACACTGAGAACGTGGGCGGTCTTCTTTTTTTTTTTTTTTTGCTTGCCTCTGTCGCCACCTCAACTTGCCGCAGTTGTCAGTCATTGATAGGACCGTAGTCGCTGTGTTCATTTGCATGTTTCGCGTCATCCTCTCTGTCTGCCAGCAACATAATTTTAACAAGCTGACTAAAGGAATCGCTCGGTGTACAATGAAATCTACAGGCTATGTCCGAACATTTTTCTACCCTGCTGTTATTTTGCGCACTGACTACACGGATCTAGATTTCAAATTGTTATATCTCCATAAGATATCGAGAAAGAAATTATAATTATTTACAGAACAGCCTAAATACAAAAACGAATATATATATATATATATATATATATATATATATATATATATATATATATATATATATATACACACAAAATATATATACAATATATATATATATAGAGAGAGAGACACAGACAGAGAGCGAGATAGAGAGAAAGATCGTGTATATTTAGGGAGAATACTTTCAATCAAACAAGTTTGGTTTAATAATTTAGACATATCATGTAGATTGTTTTTCGTTTTGATGCTTTCAAGTTCGATGGATTAATTTTTTGGTAGACTTAGAAAATTGATAATGAAAAATATCCAAATTTTCTTTCAAGTATGTTTATTTTCCTAAGTACTTTTAATTTCTATGAATTTAAAACATTTCAACTGTTCATTTTCATTTTTTTAATGTTGATGCAGGCTCACTCGAAAGAAAATATTGGCATTTTTCTAAATCGACATGATATGTCTAAATTATTTAACTAAACCTGTTTTGATTACACACACACACACACACACACACACACACACACACACATACACATATATACATATATATATATAGTTAAACCTAGAGAGCCAGACAAACCTACCAAGGTTTCACCTAAGCGGATCGTCGGGGAGATTTGTCTGGCTATCTAGGTTTAACTAGGTCTGCTCTACTTATTGTATTGAGCACTTTATTTAGTTATTTTGCCTACTCATATCGGGGCTTTTTTCTTTGGGCTTTGGACTTGCATGCTAGACGATTATTTTTGGCTAACATAAATGTTCTTAGTTCTTTCTTTTTTTTACATCATTTTTTATACATTTTTTTTTCCCTATGGTATTGGTTTGATTATTTGCAAATCAAAACACTGAAGGTTTTCTGAACGAGTATAGTTTCTTATACTTATAAAATTATTACTACTACTAATATATATATATATATATATATATATATATATATATATATATATATATATATATATATATGATGGACTCTCTCCGTCGGTTTCGACGTATGAGGATGTGACAGCTTAGTTGATTGTTATGAAATTTTGTGCAATAACCTTAAGTGGCATTTAAGACCCGCTAGTGATTTACAAAGGAGGCCACATGTGGAGCAAAAGTGAGGATTGTGAGATGAGATCACTGTTAGATTAGCTGATCTTTTAGATCATGCTCTCGTATCTTGAAGATGATTCAGACAAGCAGACTGAAAACTGCTGAGTCCACTAAATCACGTTGATCTCCTTTCACCTGCTCTGTTTAAGCGCTCAAGGGTGTTATGTGGTATATTGACTGCTGACAAGTTGCTTTTCAGCTTGTCTTTGTATCTTAGCCATGGGCGACCTACATTCCTGTAGCCCTGATCTAACTGGCTGTACATTAGGATCTTGGGTATCCTGTCATCAGACATTCTCAAGACATGACCAGTCCGCCGTAACTGAGACTTGATGAGAAACGTCTCGATTCCTCCAATATTACACCTGTTAAACAAGTCTACGTTAGATGTCTTATCTTGAAGGTTAACTCCACAGATTGCACGCAGACAGCTTTTATAGCAAACATCCAGCTGATGTATATGGTACCTGTATGGAGTCCACGACTCTGAGCCGTACAAAAGGATGGCATCTACATCACTGTAAACTCTAATTTTCGTATCCAGTCGAATATCCCGCTCATTTCACTATCTTAGTCGACGCGTTTTGTCCTCTAAATCAAGGCAAATTTGAGTATTTTATTTTCTGAGACATATTTATATACAAGATCGAGAGTTTTGGTTTTGAAAAATGTTTAATATGAATGTGCTCATGAATATTAATCAGGGTAACGGAAATTTTGAAAAAAACAAAACAAAAAAACAATTACATTTTTGCTTTTGAATATAAATAAGTGTCAGAAAATAAAATCCTTGCATTTGACTTGATGAATTCACTCAGAGGACGAAAAGCTTCGGCAAAGTTAAGCTTTCCTTTTGTCTTTATTTATATTGAAAACAAAAGAAGAGAGAAAACGTCTTCGCATTATTTTTCTTTTCTGTTTTAAAATGTCCGTATTTGTGCTGAGAATCAGTAATGTGATTGCGGGTGAAATTAAATTGTTAAAGCATACGACCGGCGGCTGATGTCTCATAACTTGTCGCGTAAAGCAAAATAATGTTATTTAGGTTGTGGGAGGGTCATGATATTTCTTTTTATTACGTATGGTTGACAATATAGAAAAAAAATTGTGAGGAAAATAATAGAACACATTAACATAAAACAAATATCCAAAATTATTTGATTTTATTTAACGAAAATTTCGGACGTGCTAGGAACCATAAAAATGTAAAAAAAAAAATACCCCAAAATACTTTGATCTTTCCTCTTAATAATAACATAAATATTTAGACGATAAATTTTTGTTTTCGACAAGTATGGCGTCTTTTTCATCATGCTATGCTCTTTTTTTAGCGATCTCGTGAAGGTACCTAGGCTTCAAGAAGATAGATGGCGATTGCCTATACATTTAAATATTTGACGATTTTAGATATCAGTAGAGCAAGAAATCGAAAGGGAATTTCACAAGTGGGAAGTGCGAGAAAAGAAACTTTCAGAGTTGAAGTGGCGGTTGCATCTAGTTAGTTCAACTGTAAAACGGTGAGATCCCTTTGTTAATATAGTAGCACGCTTAAATAGCACACTCGGATTAATGTACTCAGGGCACCAGGGAAAAAAGCTTATCAGATCACTTGCCATGAAAATATTTGTAGAAAAGACAGAGGGAAGTCACGTTATTTCGGTGAGAAAGTGACTGAAGTCGAGATGCCTGGTGAGGATCGATTACATCAGAGACCTTTTTATGTTGTCATGAAACTCGAGATGTAGAGAAGTAGACCCATACAAGATATGGTAAAAATATTCAATCAACGAAACAATGGTGAATTTATAAATGTGCAAGATGGATTCTGACGAGAGAAAAAATTCTAGCACAATATAGTGAGCCATCTTTCCTTACATGATCTGTAGCAGTTGATTCGATATAGTCTGTCCACTTCATGCCAGTGGAAAAACGTGAGGCTAAGAAAGCGTAGAGTGTTACTGTTCTTGAGTTTAGCATCAGACAAAACTGATGGTAGACAGAAAGGTTTCTCAGTGATGATTTTTTTTTAAGCATTTCACCCCAAGCAAGGCGGGAAGCCACTAGGACGCAAGAGGTTACAGAAAGTTTAGAGCAAGATCAGATAGGAGTGATAGAAGAAAGGATAAGCGTAGTGGATAGATCAAGGCAACTGGAGATGTCGATTGACATTACACTTGAATAGCTGGAGATTATAGCTCACAGGGAAACAGGAATAGGGAAAGGAGTTCTACAGGCGAGAGGTGCGAGACATGAAGCTATTAGATTAGAAGAGACGGCTACATTTAGGAGTTTCGACAGTGAAGGGGTGAGAGCGGGATGCCAGCCTCGTAAGGCGCTGGAACTCATGACGTCTGGGAACCAGCGAATGCAGCT